ATAAAATTCAGTAGTCCCCCCTTATCTGTGGGGGATATGTTTCAAGACCCCAGTGGATGCCCAAAACCCTAGGCAGTACTGAGCCATATAATATAATATAATATAATATAATATAATATAATATAATATAATATAATATAATATAATTAATATAATATAATATATATACAACAAATATTATATATATATATAAAATACACACACACACATGCATACACACACCTCCAAACCCACAGTTTTTTCTTATACATACATATCTATGATAAAAGGTAAACTATTTTTGCGCTTTCGGGGAATTATTAAGTAAAATAAGGGCTACTTGAACACAAGCACTGTCATAGTTATCTGATAACCAAGATGGCTACTAACTAACAGGTGGTGAGTGCAAAGTGTAGAGACTCTGAACAAAAGGATCATTCATGTTCCAGGCAGAACGAAGCGGGATGGCTTGAGATATCATCACACTAGGCAGAATAGGGCACAATTTAAAACGTGTGAATTATTTATTTCTGGAGTTTTCCACAATATTTTTGGATCATGATTGACTGTGGCTAATTAAAACAGTGGAAAGTAAAACTTCAGAAGGGGTGGAGGAAACCACTATATAAAGGACAGATTAACCTGGTGTCCCACAGCAAGACTCCTTGCATAACCACCCCCAGGACAATTATTCAGTAATTAAGTGCCTAAATTTGCAAATGTATTTGTTTATATATGTGACTATATGTCCTTACATCTAGATTTAAAATTACAATAGAATGAAACCATGCTTACAATTGTGATACCTGATTTATCAATTAATAGTAATTTATCTTTAACATATCTTGCTCACCTCATTTAACACCAGACTTACATCTTCGGTAGATATTTTGAAATGCTACTATCTTTAAATTCAAATCAAAATAATACAGGTAAAAAGATGAGAATAGAACCATATCTACAATATATCTTACAATCCAACAGTTAAATTAAAAGGTAATGTATAAAAACTGATGTTTTTGTGGTTGTTTTTTTTTTTTAATCAATCTCTCACTCTTCTACCTTCTTTCAAAAATAAGCTCAAATGCCTGGCCAGTGTGGCTGTGGTTGAGCCTCAACCTATGAACCAGGAAGACATGGTCTGATTTCCAGTCAGGGCACATGCCCAGGTTGTAGGCTTGATCCCCAGTGTGGGGAGTGCAGGAAGAAGCTCATCAACGATTCTCTCTCATCACTGATGTTTTTCTCTTTCTTTCCTCCCTTCCTCTCTGAAATCAATAAAAAAATATATATATATATTTTAAAGCTCAAATGGATTCCAGATTTATTTTGCTTAATTTCTACAGCACACAATCAGCAATCAAACTGACTTTCATCCTGAGTGGCAGAATAAGTCCAGGTATTGTTTGCTTGCCTTTGTTTATCAGCCTCAATTACCTGCTCTGTCTGAAATAGCTGTCCATTTATTGCAGACACATCGTCAAAAGCATAATGACTGGTAGCGCTGACTCTCTCTCATTCATTTTGTTGTAGCTAGTGCTGACTGGCACACCTTACTTGCAGAATTAAGCATATACACCAGCACTCACCTTCACTTCTTCTTCATACTGGAATCTCCGTTTGCTCACAATGATGTCTTCAATACCCCGTCTATCACCAAACTTCTTCTCAAAGATGGTATAGTTTTTAAAGAGTTCTTGGGCCTCTTGTTTTGAAATTCTATCCAGGGCATACTTGTAAATCACTCGTACCCTTTCAAACTAAAAACAGACAGGATGATTTTACCTGCCATTACATAACATTCTCATTCTAGTCATGATTAGGAAAGTAGTTATGACATAAAACATTACTTTGTAAATTAGATTTTAAGGCCTCAAAATGTAAAAGATATTTCAGTCAGGAAGGACTGACACTCTCCTTTGAGCTTTTGAGCTTCACATTTAAAGCTGTCTACCCAACACTGCCTGCTGGATGTCATCAGTGTATCTCAAACTAAAAAGTTTCAAACTGAGCTCCTGTTTCTCCCCACCAAACCCAAGTCTTCCCAATCTTGATTTAGCAGTATCTACTGCCACACAGTTGCTCAAGCTAAAATTCCTGGAGCCCTCCTTGATTCCTCTCCTTTCATTCCCCCCCCCCCCCCTTTCACTGTTTCAAGCCCTGCCATTTCTACCTCTTCAATACAGCCCTTCACTTCTCCCCACTCCCCTGCCAACCCATCTCCATTTCTTCCCTGGACCATTTAAATCTTCTCTACTTTTGCTACCCTCCTCTCAATATAATTTCATAAATTAGCTAGAGGCACTCTTTACAATATAAATTATAACCTACCATGGTTTTCTCCTACTAAAACACTTCAATTCTTCTGGCTGCCCTTAGAATAGAATCTGAATTCCCTACTATGACCTGTGTAAGTCCCTACATTCAGGCAGGGGCTGGGGGAAGGAGTAAAGGGGGTGCGGGGGTGGGGAATATCTGTTTTGCCATCAACAATAAGTAAATAAATAAATGGGTTATTTTCCAAACATACTCTGGAAGAAAAGAACTGACTTGTGGGACAATATGTTTTCACTTAAAATTATATTCTCTGTTCTGAGCGCTCTGGGCCTTTTGTTTCCCAGATTTATTATTTGTAAAGTCTTCTAATCAGGATGCCAGTGACTCATTCTGTTTATAAATAATATCCTCACTCCAGACTTAAAGGATTATATGTCAAGCACAGAACAATAAAATTAAGATAGTTATAATATAATCTATAATCACTCAGCTCCCAATATGCAGCTTAGCCACAAATGTAAATATTTTCTCCAATAAGTGCATAAAAAATGGAAATGAACTTGATGTGACAAGATGTAATATTTTCTAAGCTGTTTTGCAATGTAACTGAGTGAAGTTTACTTACTTCTTTTTGATTTTCCTCAAATTTGGCAAAGGCAACATAAAGGCGTTCATCCATGTGTTCATCTCCAAAGAATTCCACAGCTCTCTCGTACACTTTTCGTGCATGGGCAAAATAAGCATGCTTTTCTTCAAAGCGGGCATACTTGATCCAGTTCTTAACATCAGGGTGCACAAGTACAAGTGCAGGGGAATTAAAGAAATACCAGCAAGACAACACAGCTTAAAAAACAAACAAAACCCGATTCCCAGATCCACCACAAAACCCACGACGACTACAGGGCTGATAAGACGTGTGCGCAGGTGGAGAGCCTCTAGATGTGACCTGTGAGGGAGCTGTTCTTCCTCCGGTGCTGAGCCAATATTTTAGTACTGGCCACATTTCTGATAGTGGTACAAACAGGAGTCTAGAGGCATAAAAGATGAACCCTAGTTATTAGCACTGTGACATGAACACGTCATTTAACATGTCTAAGCCTCAGTTTTGTCATCTGTAAACACAGTATTAAAAATAATACTGACCACACTGGATGACTGCTGTCTTTAAATGACAAAATATATGTAAATCTTTTAGCTGTTTTATGGCCAAAAGAGCATGATTAATACATGGCATCTATTATACTATGTGCTCAATAGCATTAGTATTTGAGTTAATGATGAAGAAAAAACAAGTCACAAAAAGAAAACGGCTAACTAGAGCTAAACGAAAAAGTTTAAAATTACTATTTTATTTCTTAATAGGATCTATGCCTATTCTTTAAATCTACTTTACTTGAGAAAACCATTTGTTCCCATTAGTAACACATTCAAATAAGGCAATGATGTTAAGAGCATTGGCTCTGAAGCTGCTACTGGGTTCAAATTCTACCTTCATCACTACTTAAGAGACCATCATCAAGCTACTTAATCTCTCAGGCCTCAGTCTCCACAACTGTAGAATGAAGTAGTTCCTGTATCACAGGGTTGTCATGAGGATTAAATGACAATATTTGTAAAGTGCTTAGAGAGGATGCCTGACACAAAGGAAATGCTACTAAAAGCTTTTGTTAAACTAAGAATATTAAAAACAGTAGAGGTAATTGAAAGCTCAAAGAGCTTAAATTGCACAATAGTTGATTCTCATTATTTGTGTTAGTCCACTGTGACTGCTTACTTAGAGAATACCAAATCATTGATGCTAGGGGAAACACGTATGTACGTATTTATATACATATCTCATAGAGAGTATAATCTTAAATCTTAAAAATGACTAATCCTTAGATTCTAGTTTTGGTATTTTATAACAGAGAAAACAAGGTTCAGAAGTATTAAATGATTTGCCAGAAGCTGCCCATAAACCAGAGCCAGAAAAGGGACTCAAATATGTCCAACTGGCCCAAGAGGCAGAGCTTCTTACACTCCACTTACATGGCCTTATCCTGTGTCTCCAATCTCCATCCCCTGATCATCTCTGTATCAGAGCAGAGACAAACAGGCAGAGGTGAGACCATATGCTTTGGGTGACTCAAATTTTTCATCACTCTGTGCTTGCTAATGACTGAAAAGTGCACAAATATTGACTTTGGGGTTACAAATAAATTTTAGCAAGTAGGAGAAGTCTCAAATATAGTAACAGTGCATAATAAGGATCAATTATTTCAGCTGCTAAGCATGGTTTCACATGTTATCATCTAATCTTTTCAACCAGCCCATAATACAAACCTTTATTCTCATTTTAAAAATGAGGATACCAAGTCTCAAAGGAATTATCTGACTCATTGCAATCATATCATTAGTAATTGGTAAACCTTTGGATGGACTCCAATAATGGTGCTAATGACCTTAAACTTCAACCCTAAAAAATAGGACTAGCTATAGCAGCCAGGGCCTTCCTTAGTGTGTCATTTTCCAAAAGGAACCATTTAATTATTGTCAAAACATAAACAAATCCAAAGTTTCACTGGAAAAAAACTCAAACAATTACCCAGACTACAGACATTTTTCCTGACCAACCTATGTCCCTAGAAAATACACATGTAGCTTATGAAGATGAAATTTGCATCCCTGACTTCCAGGCCAACATTGATGATGTGTCCTGACCCCGAAGACATTTCCACAGGAGCAGGACCAGGACAATAACGGCATCACTCAGATCTCATCCAAAGGATATATCTTTCATAAATGGTGCGGGCCCGATCCACTTCTTTGTATCGCAGCTCAAAGTTGATGTAGGAGTGCCAGGCTTGCTCCTCCGGCTGCCATTCCATCCAGCGTTCAAACACCTGCCGGGCACCAGCCACATTTCCCAGCATCTCCTCCATGTACGTGTATTTGTACCTTTAATAAAATCATCCGAAGTTATCTGTCACGGTCAAAATGACTTCAGTGGTTGAACGGATGAGAGAACAAGATCCATAGATATGCTGTCTATAAGAAACTCACTTCAGATCGAAAGATATACATAGACTGAAAGTAAAGGGATGGAAAAAGGTATTTCATAAAAATGGAAATGACAAAAAGAAAAGCTGCGGTAGCAAATACTTATACCAGACAAAATAGACTTTAAAACAAAGGCCATAACAGAGAAAGTAGGACCCAGCAATTCCACCTCTGGGTATTCATCTGAAGAAACCCAAAACCTAACTCAACAAGACATGCATCTAAATGTTTCTTGCTACATTATTTATAATACTCAAGATATGGAAGCAACCTAATTGTCTATCAATAGGTGAATGGATAAAGTGGTGCATCTATAAAGTGGTGCAGTTACAAAAATAGTCATGGGGATGTAAAGTACAGCATAGGGAATAGACAATAATATTCTAATAACTAGGCTGTCGTCCTAAATGAGAATTTATATTGCGAGATTTTTTGGGATGATCATGTATTAAGATGTAATGTCTGGTCACTGGAATGTACACCTAAAACTAATATAACATTTTATGTCAACTGTAATTAAAAAATTAAAAAATATTTTAAATAAATGACTTAGGGAAAAATGTTCTTTGGCAATTTCTAGTTTTAATTTTGTTAAATGTGAAGATGATTTAAGACTTTATCTTCCCTAAAGGTTAAATTAAACATTTTTTAAATTAAAATATAGGTCGGGCCTAGCTGGCATGGCTCAGTGGTTGAGTATCAACCTATGAACCAGGAGGTCACTGTGTGATTCCCGATCAGGGCATATGCCTGGGTTGCAGGCTTGATCCCCAGTGGGTATAATGCAGGAGGCAGCCGATCAATGATTCTCTCTCATCATTGATGTTTCTATCTCTCTCCTTCCCTCTCTTTGAAATCAATAAAAATATATATGTAAGTCTGAAAAGGATGAACCATTAGAAATACATTTTTCTTAAAAATTGCTTAGTTCAACAAGAATTTTCTTATACATAAAAGACTTCAATCAAAATTTTAGTTTTGATTACACCCCTATTATATATTATTATAATAGATAGAGGTCCTTTGCATTATTATAATAGACTAGAGGTCTGTGCACCGGTAGGATCCCTCAGCCTGGCCTGTAGGGATTGGGCCAAAACCAGCAGTCCGATATGCCCTGAGGAGAGGTCCTGCAGTTTGAGAGGGAACTCTGCAAAGATGCTGTCGCTCAGCAGCTCCTACATTGAGCATCTGCCCCCTGGTGGTCAGTGTGCGTCATACCTACCAGCCAGTCACTTAGCCTTTTATATATATAGATAGATTATAAGACATTCAAAAACACTTATACATACTTAATATGTGTAAAATTAAATACATCTATATGATTCCAACTATGTAAATGAAATAAGTATGCAAATGTGGAACTTTCCTAGTCTACAAAAAGCCATTTCATTAGATAAGAAACTTACCAGAACTGGTTGACTCGGGGCAGAGTTGTTATGGCCCGGTCCCAGATATTTCGGGCATGGTTTACCTGGCGATTCTTCATTTCCATTTCCGCATATTTCAGCCAGAGTGTAATATTTCGATAGTCCACATCTAAAGCACGTTCGTATATGGATCGAGCCCTTAAGAAGCAAGATTTGGGGGGCATCAAAAGCAGTACATATAAACACACATAGCAACTATTTCAAACCATTTTCAGTGCCCTGACATTTTATCAGGTGTTCATCATGAGTTAGTTTCTAGGCATAAAAAGGTAAAAAGATATGTTATATTCTCAGAAACTTTACAAAGATTTAAAGTCTTTGCATGTAATTACAATGCAATGTAATAAGTATCATAGTCAAGTTCTGTACAAAGAATCAAATGAAAAGAAATAAAAATGTCTGGTGTAAAAGGCTAAGCAGTATTACTCCAGAATTGAAAACAAATTTGGAACTTGAGAAAAGTCCTACAAGCCAAGGTAAGTGGAGAGGTACTTATCCTAGGCAGAGAGAACAGCCAAGTGTAACAGTAAGGAGACCTGAGCCCCAGCTCATGTCAGTTTGGCTCAGTGGATAGAGCATTGGCCAGTGGATTGAAGGGTCCTTGGTTCGATTCTGGTCAAGGATGTGTATCTCAGTTTCAGGATCAATCCCAATTGATGTGTTTCTCTCACATCTATGTTTCTCTCTGTCTCTTTCCCCCTCCCTTCTACTCTCTCTCTCAAAAAAATCAATAAAAAAATATCCTCAAGTGAGGGTTGAAAAAAAAAAAAGACATGCTATGTCCAGGTAATGGCAACTATGCAGGCACAATGGGGTAGGGAGTATGCTGGGAGAGTGCAGAAAGTCTGAACAGGCCATGATTTTAATCTTATTGGCCAATGGTTTTCAGTGAAATAATTTTTACTTAAAAAAAAAAATCTCACTATATATTTGAATAAATAATCACAGAAAACTTGCCCTACCTGGTGAAAGAAATAGACTTACAAGTCCAGGATGCAAAGAGTCCCAAACAAGAGGAACACAAAGAGGACCACACCAAGACACATCATAATTAAAATGTCAAGGGCTAAAAACAAAGAGAGAATCTTAAAAGCAGCAAGAAAAAAACAGTTAGTTACAAGGAAATGCCCACACAACTGTCAGCTGATTCTCAACAGAAACTATTATATACAGGCCTCAAGCAGGTGGCAATAAATATTCAAAGTAATGAATAGCAAGGACCCACAACCAAGATTACTCTACCCACCAAAGCTATCATTTACAATGGAAGGTCAGATAGAGAACTTCACAGACAAGAAAAAGCTAAAGGAATTCATCTCCACCAAATCACTATTATATGAAATGTTGAAGGGTATTCTTTAAGAAGAGGAAGAAGAAAAAAATAAAAAATATGAACAAAATGGCAACAAATACAAACCTATCAACAATTGAATCTAAAAATCAAAATAAACGAATAAGAAATCTAAAGAACAGAATAAATTGGTGAATAAAATAGAATCAGAGGCATGGAAATGGAACAGACTGACGATTCTCAGAGAGAAGAAGGGTGGTGGGTAAGAAGAGATTAAACAAAGATCTTATGTGCATACATGCATTACCTATGGATACAGATAATAGGGTGTAGAAGGCCTAGAGTGGGGCAGGAACCGGATGGAGGGGGAAAAGAGGGACATCTGTAAGAAACAAAAATTCCTAATACAGAGAAAGCAGACGAAACTACACTTCTCTGGCTATAAGGTGTGTGCTGGTAGAGAGACCCACCTGTACAGCCTCCTGCTCTGCTCCCCCCAACACTAGCCTAAAACAGGGCCCCTGAAGCCCTCAAAGGAATCTCAAGGTTCTATGAAAGAAACTGAAAATTACTAACAAAGACACAATCTTCTATTTGTACTTTAACTTTTTCTATATATTTTTTTTTTTTTTGTAACTGTTAACTTATGACATCTTTATGCATAAAATTACGGCATCGATCAGACCATCAAATATCAGATGGAAGGCAGGGGAGGTAAGGGGGAGAGATCAACCAAAGGACTTGTATGCATGCATATAAGCATAACCAATAGACACAGACACCAGGGAGGTGAGGACATGGGGGGGGGGGGGAGGGAAGGGAGAATAAGGACACATATGTAATACCTTAATCAATAAAGAAAATAGAAAATAAATAAAACAAAAAAAAAAATTACATGCTCAACAATTTTACCTTTGAATCTCCTTTAGACTCTCTTCCCATTGTGCGTATTTTATCCAGTTACTAATTACAGTCCTGTTTTTTCTTATGTTATCTTCAAAAGTCTACAAAGGCAAAATGGATCAAATTAAAGAGAAAACTAAAAATAACATTATCCTTTTTCTATTAATCCTATACTAAAAAGGATACTTACTCATTTTATTCTTATATAAAAGAAATTGCATTCTGGAATCTTTGAGAAATAAGAAACCTACTACAGAAGGTTACAATCACAGGTGTTTTATATGCAAGCAAAAGGAAAATTTTAGATATAAAGAATTATTGCAGAATTGTTGATATTTTCTCTTATTGCCTATAACAACTGATATTGTAATATACTTGTTTCTAACAAGAAAATGTGTTTTGACTGGGTCTTTTTGGTAATGTCACAGAATTTCATACATTACTCAATGAGGATTACTAATTAAGTAGGCACAACAAAATTAGTGGTTTAAAATAACCCCACATTCTAGAGTAAAAAGATCAGATCAGATCTCTAGTCTTCTTATGCCCTTTCCCACATCTTAACTCAACTCAGGTGCTGGTACGGCAGAAGCAGCATATATCATAGCCTTGCTAAGTCCACCTCTCTTCTAGCTGTCAGTTGTTCCATCTGTTAATCTTTTACCAATCTTCAATTGAGCACCAAAAATTATGTCTTTCGTGGACTTAATCTCTTTCTACTCTAAAACAGACAATTCCTGGTATACTTAATAAAGTTCAACCTTCCGAGGTCCCTTCCCAGTCAGCTGCACCTGGGGTGGTGCTGGGGTTCGAAGGGCATCTGCGGAGTGAGCAGGGTCCCTCTAGCAGGTGGGTTACCTCGGCCTGGCCTGTGGGGATTGGGCCAAAACTGGCTCTCTGAATCCCCTGAGGGGTCCTGGAGTGCGAGGAGGCACTCTGCAAAGTTTTTGTTGCTCAGCAGCCCCTGTATTGAGCGCCTGCCCCTGATGGTCAGTATGTGTCATACCTACTGGCCCGGTCAGTCGCTTAGCCTTTTATATCTACCTATATAAAAGGCTAATAATATGCTAAGTGTCCCCTCGGGCATTCAACTGGAGACTGAGAGTTTGATTACTCGCTATGACAGGTGCGACCACCAGGGGGTGGCGCAGAACAAAGGAAGGCCCTGGCCAGCAGCCAGGCCCTAGAGATAGTACTTGTGCCACAGGTCTCTAGTATTTAGATCAACAATGAGGAATTTTTCAAACTCTGACCTATAAATCCTTAACAATACTGATATACTGAAAGACATCGCATTGACTGACCTTCCTTTTCCTTAGTTTGTAATCATTTAACTCTTCTTCATCTGTGATCTTCTGTTGAGGTGGAGGTGGAAGAAGCTCAAGTTCTCTTTCTTTAGCTTCTCTTAAAAGCTGTTCCGCAGTGATCTGTACCTCAGCTGGGGCTTTGTTTTTCACCTTTTAAGACAAGACATTTCTATTTTTAGTAGATGCTCTGCACACAAGGTTTAACAAACAAACATTTTTTTACGATGTGAACTTTATATATCACAAGATGCCCTCTTTGTATGACATGTTCCCATTTCTCTGGGCAACCAAACAGCAAAAAAATATGTGTTCTAGCTTATGTATGATTGCTATTAACAAGCCATAGGTAAAAGTCTCAAGAGAAAAGATTGCAAAAGTAGCAAGTTTTCCTTTTAGATTAGTAAAATAAAATACTCTGAGGATGCCTAGGTAAAACTCTCACCAGAGGTTTTGTTTGTCAAGATGCAGACCACAGCGTATCTAGCATTATAATACAATCTCTATTTAGGTAATTCTTCAACACAGGCCCCACGTGGGTGATAATGCCCCAGGTGGGTAGCTGAGTTTGATTTCTCATGGCATTTCAAGTCCAAGACAAGGTAAGTTGCCATCATTAGAATATAAGTTTCTTCAGGTCTAAGAGCTGTGCAGTCCAATACAATAGCCATGAGCCACATGAGGTGAGTCCAAATTGAGATGGGCTACAAGTGTAAAATATACAGTGGATTTTGGAGACTTCGCGTGAAAAAAGAACAAATCACCTAATTAAATTTTTATCCTGGTTACGTGTTGAAATGACAGTATCATGGACACACTAAGTTGTTAAATAAAATATATAATAATTAAAATTAATGTCACCTGCTTTGACGTTTTAACGTCACCGTGAGAAAACTTAAATTACATATGGGGCTCATTTACTTCTATTGGACCAAAGTTTATGCAATGGAATTATAGGAAATACTAATTATTTAGTGCTGTACAATGATGATGATGATGATAGCTCATACCTAATGAGCATGAAGAACTAGATACTGTGCTATATGCTTTATATACATTATCTCCGGAAGTCATCTACATGGACATGTAAAGAAAGGCTCGAGAGTCTTCTGGGCTGAAGAACAGACCGGAGGGAGAGTATCTGTACAGGCTTAGAACAAAGCCTGTTACATAAGTCATTGATGGGTATCAGCCACCGAAGGAAATACTAGGTATCAAATTTATTGTTTAACTTAAATTATACCACTACACAGTTGTTGTCATCTACTCTCATTCTTTCCACTCTCAGTTGGGCTAACTCCTTTTCATTCTTTAAGTCTCGGCTTAAATGTCTCGTCTCAGCACCGTTTACTTTGGAGACCTGCTCTTACAACCCCCGCTACTCCTTGGCACAATCTCCTTGGCCTCCGTGGCACCTGGCGCGGTTGCAATTTTGCACGTGTGTCTCATTTGAGTGCAGCTCCGCAGTGCCTAGCGCCCTGCCTGGCTGTTACCTCTGCTGAGAGAGCCTTCTCCTCTCCTCCACCCGCAAAAACACCTTCCCAGAAGGAAGGCTACGCCGACATGCGGGATATGCTTCCGCTGACAAGAGCTTGCACCCCACTACCGCCTCTCTCTTTCCTTCTCTAGCACCCGAGGCCCCGCACGGGGTGGGCCTACAATCTCGGACATCCCCTCTCTCCACGGAGTCCGTGGCAAGCCCTCCCTACAAAGCCCCCCCATCCCCACCCCCGCTATCGCCTACCTTGGCCACTTTGGGAATTCTCTGCTTCCCGGCCGCGGTGGAGGCCGCCATGGCTGCAGCAGAATTGGTTCGGTAAACCCTAGGTCCTAATTATCCGCCCAGAGGCTCCCCGACGCCGCAAACTTTCTAATAACAAGCGGGATCCCGGAAGCGGAAGCGGAACTGGATTTGACCTTTAACCCCCAGCACGCTCCGTGACCCAGGGAGCGCCGTTTCTATGGTAACCTGGCTGCGCGTCCTCCTTAGAGCCGGGTGTAGAACGCAGCGTCCGGGAGTTGGGCTGAGGTGGATAGAGCTGGTCTTCCCAGCAGGGACGCGAGGATTGGGTCCAGGGCGTCAAGGACGCATCCAGGTCAGTGTCCGGGACTGGGTCACAGCGTGAGAACCGCTGGATCTGTCTAGTTTTGGCGCCCAGCAAGGCGGCTAGGAACCAATGCCAATCTGATGCTCCAAGGTGGGAGAGAGAGGCAGGCCGAAAAACTACTGTTCCCAGCATGCCAAGGGGCGGACCGTTGCGCTCTTGGGCAGCCTGGAGCTGCGTGGCATTGTGGGTTTTGTAGTTTCTGAAACCAACTACCCTTCGTTTCTGGACAGTAGTGCTCAAATAATTAACTCCAATGTTATTAAAAGTTTATTAAAAAATAACTGAAGGTATTTTAAAGCCAGATAATACAAAATAAAGATAAATCAGTAGACTAGCAAACCAGCCAGCCTTGTTGTCAGATAAGCAGATGTTTAAATTCTCTTAGTCTGCCTTAATTACATGCATTATCTTGGCCTCCATGTCTTTATAAGACGAGGATAATATCTATTTCAGTAGGATTGAAGAGAAAATCTATGTAGCGCTAAGTAAGTGTTAGCTAGTATAATTATTGACATGCCTTTAAAAACAGAAAATATTACTTATATGCAAGCAAATGGTTTAGAGAATTAAAAAAAAAAAAGACTATTTCTTGGAGCAATTTTAGGTTCACAGCAAATTTGAAAGAAAGATGCAGAGAATGCCTATTCCTCCAACCCTCTCACCCCCCTACCTCCCCACTATCAACATCCCCCACCAAAGTGGTATATTAGTCATACTTGATAAACCTACATTGACATATTATCTCTCAAAGTCCATAGTCTACATTAGGGTCACTCTTGGTGCTGTACGTTCCATTATATGTCTTTCTGAACATTTGACTCCCCACTGTTGTCATTAGCGATTCTCAGAAAGGCTTGGCTATACAAAGAAAGCAGGTACTTTCTTATGGAACTTTTCAAAGTCTTTAATGAGCATGATGGCCTGTCAGGAATGCTATCACAAGCAGCATTTCCTATATCTATTTAACCATGTAATGTTTTGTCTCAAAATCTCTCTCAGGATCACTGCCCTTCAGGACTCCAGTTTGGGGAACTCTGTTTGGAACAAGGGCAGCAGCTGTCCAGATTCCCCTGTAACTCTTGGCCACATACAGTGGTGGCTAATTACATTTAGAGGACCCCGGATCAGTGAATAATTCCTTTCACTGTTGTTCAAGCCTACTGTTAGAATCCTTTAAAGCAGCTTCATTGGAAACAAAGACCACAGTTGCAGGAATTTCTAGACAGGCCAATTCTCAGAAACATCATTGTCCTGGAGAGAAACATGTCAACTGATTTGTGGTGACAGTCAGTCGTTGCAGCCTACCCCCAGGGGAAAATGTGTCTCACCAGCACTCTAATACCATGTTCACTCTGACCTTACGGAAATTGAGTTAACGTCCAATTTTGTAAGTACTGTAACTGGACTGGCTTGTCCTCTCATTTAACAGTGGGCTGTTTTATCTCTTTTTGGAGACAGGATAAAAAATGTCAATACTCACTTCTCCAAGAGGAAAGGTAGAAGTTGTTCACTGCCGAAGAACAGAGTCACAGGATATTTTTTGTATCAAAAACCTAATTAGAAAATTTACCCAGAAGCTGTTTGGGAGGCTTAATATCATCTATCTTCTGTAAGTATGTAGTCAAGTAAGCTTAACTATGTTTATCAGTCTTATCACACAACAGGAATGAACCTCAGTCCCCCCTTCCTTTGTCTTTATGGGGTCTTTGGCAAGGAAATGGGCAGCAAGAAAATCTACGCTACTGAGCAGGAGATCTTTGGGAACAACCAACCTCTAAGTCCTGTAGCAACATGCAGGTCGAAGGGTTTCTCATAGGTTTTGGATTCAGATAAACTTGGGTTCAAATCTCAACTGCCCCACCTACTGTTAGGTTCACATGGGGCAAGTTAATAATATTAGCTACCAGTTTTGAGAATTTATTTTCTACCAAGCTCTGTGCTTTGCCAACATGATCTTATTTAGTATACTGACACCTCTCTGAGATAGCCACTATCATGTCCATCTTACAGATGAGAAAATGGAGGCCTGCCAAGGTCAAGCAGTTAGTAAGTGACAAAGCTTGGTTATGCTTTTATCCACTGCTGTTAAAATATTCTTCTAAATTTCAAAATCTGTATAGATTTTTTTTCTTAAAAAAGTTCTTTTTCCCCTGTTTTGCTTTTTTGGATACCAGAATATAGATATCC